ATTCTCATTTTTTTCACATGTAAATTAGGGATTATACCCAATTTAAAAGGTAAGTAAAGACAGGGTTTTGGGTCCAATAAGTACACAATAAATGATGATCTTTGGCTGTTGTTTTGTTGGTTTTTCTCTTTTGAAAACAATGTCTGCTTTAAGGGGCTGGAGATTTAGCTCAGCGTCGTAAGTGCCTGCCTTGCAAGCAGGCAGTCGTGAGTTCAATCCCTGGTACCGATAAAAAGGAAAAAGACAAAAAAAAAAAAAAAAAAACCAATGTCTGCTTTCAAGAAGTCAGTAGTCTACTGGAAAGACACCATAATCAATGCTTATTTAAAATTTCCATGTACCAACCATGCTGAGCACTTTATACGTATTATTTTGTTAGACCAGTGTCGCGAGGAAGACTCCAAGGGCCTCGCTCTCATGTAAAAACAACGGGGTTTTTATTATTCCGTGTACACGGGGTCCTCCAAACAGGTGGAAACGGAGAACCCTGAGTTGGGGCAAGGCTGGTGTTTTTAAGGATGAAAACCGCAAAGCAAGCAAGCATTGTTACAGAAGCCAATCATAGCAGTTAGAGCAGAACAGTTGGTGATTTGTCCATTTGTGATTGGTCAGATCATGAGGGGCGACCAGTGGGTCAGAGTTGATTAACTGTCTTGTTTTGCACAGCTTATTTTTAGGTTACCTAGCTCTTGTGTGGCTTGGTTTTGACATACTTCCCAATCTTGATTAGCATAGTCAGCAGACTTTATCTCTGAGTTTCCTGACATAATTACCTTACTTTAGCACCACAACCTTTCTATTTGTAGAGGGCAACAATGGTTAACATATCAATTGGGTAAGATTTTACAATTCTTTACAGAAGAGAGCATTGATTAACATATCAATCTTTTACCCAGGGAAAAAGGAAGACACACATTTACAGTTACAGGTATTACTATGATATAAACGAAGCTATTTCTGTGAAGAATGTACAATCTAATACAATCTGATGCAATTAACACAATTTGTGACGGGGCTACCAGATAGGGAAGACCCAGGATGTCAGGAGCTAGTACCTCAGGCCTTTGTTTTATGGCCTTTAGGAAGTTAAAACTTAACCTAGTTGGATTTGAAGGGAGAAGGGGAGGGGAAGCAGCAGATGGAACGAGCTTTTTTCGTCTCTTCAATTTCATCTTATTTCTTTAGGACTCTAGGGCTTGTAACTTGTAATCTGAGCAACTACTTTGAAGATAACACACAATGTATTAACCATTGTTAATCTTCTATTATTTTGTTTTGAAATTCTATATCATTTTTACTTTTGTTCTAAAATTTATTTAAAATAAAATAAATTTAATAAGAAGAACTCTATGGGATAGATGGATGGATGGACAGACAGAAACACATATTTTTCCCATTTTGTTGAGGTACAAAAAAGACCAAGATCTTGTCTAAAGCCATATAAGCTACAAAATGGTGAAGCCATGTTCAAATCCAGACAGCACCAGACTTTGTATTCAGTCATAGGGCTGTGTTACAAACCAAAATTACAATATTAATAATTTAAATGGAATAACATGCAAGAAACATTGTAACATATACATACAGTCAAAGCTTGGTAGCACTTGAGCTGGGATTAAAAGAGTATCTGCTTAACAGCAATAGAACACCAGTGAAAAGATGCAACAGACAAAAATTATACCCAGATGGCAACTCTGATGCATAATAACACTGCTGATGCCAGAACACCTTGCAGAATGGATCAGTAACTGGACTCAATATACACAATAGCAAGCATGAAGCATTAATCACTAGAAAGAATGCAACTACTGATCGCATATATTATAAGCAAAATAAGTATAAGCTAACTCATCCAGCTAGTTTAACCTGTCACTGGCATAATTTACAATGATACTATAGGTGGAACCTGCCTTACACAACATTACAAAATCACTAACCTAGTCTTAGAGCAACCCAGCCCTGTGTCCCATTGGTCTTTCAGTGCCAACACCTTTAATAACGACCATTCCTCACTCCTCTCAGCCTTTCTTTTCTGTCATCTCCCCACAGTTCTAAAGTAAAATACGACAGATAATACCTTAAGAATTTGAGGGAAGTACAATTTATAAGGGATTAGAGCTTAAGCCCAAAAAACATCAAAGCATGAAACTTCGGAGACAAAGGGAGAAAAATGGAAGACATTTCAAATGTTGTCAAGTTCTACCACACCCTTCCTAGTCCTTTGGGTAAGACTATAAAATGAAAACAAACAAACAAACAAAAGACATAAAATGAGTCTAGAGTTCTTTATCATTGAAAGTCAATATTTTGATAATTTGTGAGGTTTGTTTGTTTTCTTTTTTGATTGTATTGGGGACTGAATTTAGAGCTGTGGGCAGGTTAAGCAAGCTCTCGGGCACGAAGTTGCATCTCTAGCCTTTTTTTTTTTTTTAAAGATAGTCTCACACTGTTTTGCCTAGGTGCCAGGCGGGCCTTGACTCATGATCCTCCTGCCTCCACCTTCCATGTAACTGGACTTACCAGAAAGTACTGCCAAAATATGTTATCACACCTAGATCAATAATTTGTTTTAGATTTGAGTTTCTTGGCTTTTAAGATTCTACCGGTAACCAAATGATGAGAGAGAGACAGAGACAGTGACAGAGACTGAGAGACAGAGAGAGGAAGAAAGAGAGAAAGGGAGAAAAGGGGAGGGAGACAGACAGGGACAGGGAAAGCAAAACCATCAGCAAAAACACTGTCAGATTCTGTTTGAGTAGTTTAAATTTTGAGGTCCACCGCCCCATGTGTAGTGTTCCATTTGATTTAGATGCAACTGCACATAAAGAGGGTAGCTATCTTTCATTACACCACCCTGGCACTCTCTAAAAATTTGTCCTTCTCCACACTCGATCGTAAGTATATCTTTAACTGCACCAACTGTTGTCTACCTTAAGGGTTTAAAATATTGTTCAACAAATACTTGAAAATAATTATGTCAGGATAAAGAAAAAGAACTAAAAAACCCATACACATAACTACTAAGTAGAAAACAAAGGAGAATATTTGAAAATAATACACTTACCCCAAATTAAAATAGTAATGTTTAAACCCTTGTCTGGAAGCTTGTTGCTGTTCCTCGGAAGGCTGCCTGGTGGTGTGCCCTCCCCTAGCACAGGTCCTCAAGGCCCTGGGTACATGTGTGGGGCACTGAACTAATACAGATGCACAGGCTCTAAACTGGCTCTGCATCTTCTATCTTGTCATTTGAAACGAGAATCCTTTGTTTCCTTGGGCTTTGAGATCTTCATCTATAAGGTAGGAATGACAACACTTCCTATCTACCCTGCAAAATTATTGTAAAAATGAAAAAGGTATTGCACACAGTACTACACAGCTTTGAACATTACAGGGTACAGCGTATGTGGTGGCACACCTGTAATCCCAGCTGAGGAAGAAAGATTTCCAAGAGTTCACGGCCAGCTGGGCTACACACAGTGTAGCAGCCTAAACTACATAGTGAGACTTGTCCCAAAAACCAAAACCAAAATAAAATTAAAATGTAAAACTTTAAATATATATAGAGAGACAAATAGAATACAATACAAACATCACTAAAATTTTCTCATTCCAATTTTACATACAATGTGTATACTATATATACTGTAATTATTTTGTGATTTCAAAACATTTGAGAATACCCCTCAGAACATTCAGTCTAACAAACATTATATCACAGTGACTCAAAGTGTGAGTCAGCTGGAGTCTGCTTAGAAACACTGTATTTCAGGTACCCCATCTACAAAATCAGATTCTGTATTTTCACAAAATAAGATCCTCACAAGATTCCTTTGCACAGGAAGCTGAGAAGCATTCCTTTACAAAGTAATACCATTTACAACAATTAGATAAATAAGAAATTATTTCCAGAAAAAAATTTTTTTCACTGGAAAAAGGTTTTTAATATCAATGTACTTCAAATACATTTTTGTGAATATACAATTGCTTTATACACTATAAAACATTTCATTTTAGAAAGTCTCCAACTTCTAAATATCAAAAGAACTCCATTTCTGGTACAAAGATGAACCATTTTGTATATTATGCCAAAATTAAAATTTACCCATATTCTAAAACTCAGAAATGAGATAAAACACCATGAAGTCTTTCTAGAAAACATCACCAGTGACCACCAAACTATCTTTACATACATATAAAACTTTATTTCTTCTCTTTTTCTTTACAAAATATATGTGTTAAGTAATATTACCTCTGATTTAGATAGGAAGAATTCTTTATATTTTTTCATTCAGACATATATTCTTTACCAACTTTCACAAGAGATAAACTCCTGTGACTAGAAAAAGTATTTTAAATATACGCATGTGATTTACCAGAAATTTAAAGTTATATTTTACTAAACAATAGTAACCAAAGACTGGCTAAACAAATGGCGTCAAAGCTATTTCTTACTGTATGTAACACTTCTGCCTGGTTCTTAGCAGACAATGCTTCTTCAGATAGCTATCCAAAAATGTCAATAATTAATATAAAATACAGAAAATCATGTACATTTACCCTTATATAAAATATGACTATATCAATCACTAAGTATTTTATCATCTTAAAAATGGAAGGAATATTTCAAATTTTATTTATATTTAAACCTGGTCACCCATAAATAAATAAGAATAGCCAGGCTATGTATATATGATACTTATTAAGTGTCAAAAAGGACAGACACAATCTTTTGGTAGAAGAACTCCAAAACAACCTTGCAACAATATATAGGATGCCAGTTTAGAAGTTGGACGTGAATACCAATGCTTACTCTCACACTTTAAGAGTAAACTTCCATCAAGAAAAACTACTTAGTATCTCTAGCTCTACTTTCTTCTTGTGTAAAACTGAGATCACAACGCCTCCCTCACAAAGATATGCGATAAACTAACTAGTATTGTAGGTATTAATACTTTATAGAAAATAAGAGTGTTGTAAAAATTAAAAATTTTAAAGTGTACCTTATCAAGTTTTAGTTCCAATTCTGCTACATCTCCTTCTACTTCTTCCAAAGCAGCCCTAAAAAAATAAATATATGTTATTCATTTGCTTAAATGTATAATTTACTCTTGAAAAGTAGCTTTTTACTCTAAGTGAGAAAAGAGATACCTTCGAATGAAGAACAAATGCTTCATAATCATGTAATGCAACAGACAATACTAATATTATTTAGGGCAATGATAGAACATATTACACTGAGTTAATCAAATCAATTATGTAAATTAACTAATAAGATAATTTAGAACTATTTAGCATATATTTTAAAATTACAAATGAGAGTTTCTAAGCAAAATGCTGAAAAATACAGAAAAGATACAATCTAATAAAAAAAAAACCAATAGGGGTAGGGACTTTATTTTAAAAAAATTTTTTTAAAGATGAGCCTTACAAAGAATCAGATTTCTAGACAATAACACATATGCAAGCAAACTGCAATGCATTACTGATAACTGAAAGATGATTTGATTTTTCAAAATAGTTCAGAAAGATATTACCTATTTTAATTCATCATTTTGTTTCCACAAGAACTGAATCTATTAAATGTCAGAATTAAGTATTACCAAATTTTGGACTAATCTTTCTCACAAAAATACAATTTCAACACAGCAAAATTAGCAAAGGTTAGGTAACACAAACAGTTACCTAACTGACTAAACAGTAAGCTGGACAGTCTTACTGACCACAAGGGGCGATGGGATTACAATGCTACTTCGCACTTGATACCACAATACAGGGCAGCATTCAAAAACCAGGAAATCTGTCTCAAAATAGCAGCAACTAAAATCTTTTAAAGATAATAAGATTATACACTAAGATTAATGTACAAAATATAATTCATGTAGTTTAAGTCATTTATGCCATCTCATTTTTGCGACAGAGACAGAACCCAGAGCCTCACACACACACTGGCAGATGCCCGACCCCTGCGCTGCATCCTTGACCGTGGTGCATTTTCATGGGCCCAGCTGATAAACTGGCAGCTTTATGATGGCTACTTTAAGAAGTAAACAAAATCTGTTTTAATTAGGTAGTAGTAGGTAAGAAGCCACTCAAAAAAGTTAGATGGAATACTTAGTAAAATAGTTTCAAACTACAGAGTTGGGGGGAAAACAGCTATGATATAAACTATTTCCACAACTACCAATTTGCTTCTGGGTGAGCTCTGACTAATTACCTTACTGGCTTGCCATTCTACTTCTCTGTCTGGTGACTGATTGATTGGTTGACTGAAAGAACCTCACTATGTAGTTCAGGCTGACCTTGACCTCACTGTGTAGCCCAAGCTGGACTCAAACTCACAGCAATCCTCCTGCCTCGGCCTCTCAAGTTCTGAAATTACAGGTATGTGTCACCTCACCTGGCTCTAGTGACATTTATCTTTTAGAGCCTGTAAATCTGCAAAGTAAGCAAATACCTACAAAGTCTTTTATTCAGTAAAGAGATGCCATTATAAAATGAGAGCACATGGCTCCATAAAGCAGGAGATGGCATACAAGCCAAAACACTTCACTCCTAATAGCTGGCCACTGTCTTCGACAACTACATTGTTCCCTGGAAAACATTTCCGTTTCACTTACACCTCACTTCCTTCACCTACTCATCATTTACATTTACACTAATTTCACTTGTGAAAGCAAATATGTATATACAAAAATATTCAATGTAATAGTCTAGAAACTGAGATGCCCAATAATATGAACAATCTAATAACTGATGCATCCGCCCCATTATGAAGGAAGCAGGTTTTGTTGTTGTTGTTGTGGTTGATTTTTGGTTTTGTTTTAGGGCTTTTTTTAAATGTTTTTTCAGACAAGGTCTCACGATGTAGTTGTGGCTGGCCTTGAACTCACTATGTAGTCCAGGCTGGCCTCAAACTCAGTGATTCTTCTGCCTCAGCCTCCTGAGTGCCAAAATTATAGGCATGCACCACCACGCCCAGCAGGAAGTTTTTAAATGAGGCTTATCTATATTTACTGATATGGAAATATGTACATGACAGATGAGTACATGGGGGGAAAGTAAATTACAAAATTATGTGCAATGGAAACCCAACTTTGTGCTAGACAAAAACTATTTAGACATACATGGGAAAATAACTGGAAGCATATTTATCAATTAATCTTATTAACTTGGAAAATGGGGGCTGAAGATTAGAAATTATAAATGAGAATTGGACTTGTTTTTTCTTTTCTAAGACAGAGACTCACTATGCAGTCCAGGTTAGCCTTGAACTCTCCATCCTCCTGCCTCCACCTCCTCAGCACTGGTGTTACAGGCAAGCACCATACCCAGGTAAGGATCTGCACTTTTTACTCATGCTTCTAAATTGTTTCACTACTGTTAACGATTATTCATTTTTAAGTATGAGACAGAAGCCCAAACATTCCCTCCCCAAGAAGCTGCTCGCCACAGAACGCCTCCCTTACCCACCCTGCCACTGACGGGCCACAGCCACCTTTGGCCTCCAGCACCAGAACGCAGCTCTGCCTGTCCACTCAAAGCCTGCACTCCACAGCAGAGCAGACATTCAAACATTTGCAGAATCAAGGAGGAAACTCAGCAAGTCTTCAATTTTCACATATTTTTTTCATGTATATTCTTAACTTTTACTTATCTTGACTCAATCTTCCATTTCTTTCAAACAAATTTAGTCAAAATGAACAGTTGAAAAATTTAATCACTGGTTTCTACTAAACATATGGCTTGAAAGAAACTTTACTGACATTCTCCAACATTATTTTATTGTGCAATTCTATTTTACTTTTGTGAAGCAACAGTTTTCAAGAAAGGTGTGAGTTTATGTAGTAGAGAAAATGTCTGCTTGTTACTTGTCATTTAAAAACATACATTCAAAGACTATCATTCAAAGAATCTTGAAGGTCCTTCAATTTAACATTATCCTTCTCTCTTAAGAAAATGTTCATCGTTTAGGCTACGCGTGAAAACTTGTAGAACATCTCCTGGTTCATTACTAAGGCAGCCTGGTTCATTAAATAAGTTTTTCTTAGTATAAGAAGAAAAGCACAAGGAAAGAGTATATTTTCAGTTCAAATTCTGCTCCACCACACCTTTATTCAGCCCTAAGATATCTGAGACTTCTCATCTGTAGAAGGATAGAGAAATATCCACTTAAGAGTTGTAGAAACCAGTACAATGGTTTACCCCAGCTACATGAGCACAGTGAGCCCAGCCTGAGTGACCCAATGAGACCCTCTCAAAATGCAGATTAAATGGAGACTGGCCCTATCCTCAACCACAGTACTGAAGAATGCCAGCACCTTCCCTCCCTCTTCTGCCTCACCCAGCCAGTACTGGGAGATGAGTTTTGACTCCCTCTTACTTCTATTCATTTATGTGCCAGGACCATTCTGGAACACATTCTTAATAAATAAAATTACTAGGGACTAGGGATTTAGCTCAGCGGCATAAGCACCTGCCTTACAAGCAGCTAGTCGTGAGTTCGATCCCTGGTACCGATAAAAAAAAAAAAAAAAAAACAATAAAATTACTAAACAATCAATATAAGTCTTTCCAATATTGGAAGACAGACATTATTCCTCTGTAAGTCTCCCAACTATTTATTAAGTATATAATTTTATAAAGGTGCAAGGTATTAAAGAGGCCAAACTTAAAGGTCCTATCCTCGCTACCTAAAAACTCAGGTTATATACACACTAACTATGAAACACAGTGTATGATCAAGTGGCAAAACAAGCAAACCAAAAAAGCAACTACTGTAAATATTTTGAAGGGGAGAAGAGGGAAGAGAAGGGGAGGGGAGGGAGGAGCCCAATCGGCAAACTGTAGCCCAACAGGAAAGTTTGCTTTTACTAGCTTGCAAGCTAAAACAGATTTTACAATTTTAAATAATCAAAGGTTGAGGGAAAAGTCAAAAGAAACAATTTTTCAAGACATGTAAAAACTACAGTGCTTAAATTCCAGTGTCTATAAATAAAGTTTTATAGACAAGATTATTCACCTTCATATTGTCCAAGACAGCTTGTGCCCTGTAATGACAGGGCTGAGTGTGTGCTGAGAGACTTTATGGCCCACAAAGCCTAAATACTCCTGCTATCTGCACAATTATAAAAAAAGGACTTTCTCACCCCAAAGGGTATCAAATACAGTAACACAAATGAAATTTTCTTCTCACATGTAACATAGATAAGAAAATAAACTTTCAGATTTAGTTCTATCTATCTCTTTGGATGTAACTTAAATGAATTTCTATGAGAAGCATAAAAATAGAACTCACCCCACAGATAACTGCATATCCAATAAAGAGTATGTGTATGAGCATTACATTTTCTTATAAAAGAAAATTGTTTGAAAAAGGAAATGTGATAAGGAATTATTTCTCACATCTATTCAAGATCTTTTAAAGAACAGAAAGTTCTCCACCCCAACATCAGCTACAGGTTTATGATGAAACTAATAGTTGAAAACTAGGTCACGTGGTGATATAATCTAAAATGCAACAACAAGATATTCAAGATCATTAACAAACGAATATCAAATCTTTAAATCTGGATTTGATAATACTCAATAAATATCCAAACTATAATGGACAGGGCTGGGAGTTTAAACTCAGTGGTATCGCATGAGCTATTATTCCCCAAGCATAAGCAAAGCTTTGGATTCAGTCTCTAGCATCACACACACACACACACACACACACACACACACACAACTTTCTCTCATTTGTATCCCTTGTGTTACATAACAGACATATTGTTAAAATGTGCAGATCTAATGAAGAACCATTCACATACTCAGAACAACTGCCTGTACATCACTTGTACCAAAGCAAGAGTTCTTCCAGGCCTGGAAGAACTTGAGTTAGAAAAACAAAACAAAACTATTTGTAAGTCATGAAAAGCTTCATCAGATTTTATATTAACAACTGCACCTCTCTCAAAAAGTTTCCTTTGTGTATCTTGTAAAAGGTAATGGATATTAGTACAGATGAAAATAATGAGTGGTGACTTTTTAAGTTGTTTATTCAACTTAACACTTTA